GGCAATGGTTGATAGTTCCGCTATATTACAAATTGACTAAGATTGAAATTGTGGACTGTCAAATCCAAACTCATTAATTCAAATTTTAAGTACTAACGAAAATTGAAATTTTTCAATCGATTACCGACGGGATCGTAGATGGGCACTGTTGATGGAACAGTTATCCAGTTCTTAATTTTCAGGGATTCTTTAACTTAAGTCAATCCATTATTTAAACTTCCTAAATAAAATATTCGGCAAAGAGATTCTGCTACTTTTACGAAAGGGGCTGCATGGAACCAGGTAATGTTAGAATCGCTTCACTTCGATGATCATAGCAAACTTATCATCCCTAATCTACTAATTATTATACTTATACAGCGGCTCGTCTTTGGTGGAAATTCGACTGTATCTAAACGTTCTCGAGTCACTGTCCGGTTGAAAATTGTATGTTACCACCGAATACGAGAACTGAAGCAGTTTTTCTGAAACCACGTGCACCATTCAAACTGGCCGCCTTCAACGTTCGCACACTTATGCAGGTCGGACAACAGATAGGGCTGGCTATGTCTTTGGAAAGTCTTAATATCGACGTTAGTTGTCTATCCGAGACCCGTATTCAAGACTCTGGTGAAGTACTACAAATTCGCTCTCCATCTGTCACTTCAAAAAGCTTGTTTTACGTGCGCTTATCCGAGGGCCCTGTGGCATCTTCGTCTGGTCTTGCTGGCGTTGGTGTCGCACTGAGCGCTAGAGCTGAGGCAGCACTAGTCGATTGGATCCCTATTAACAGTCGGATATGTGCTGTTAGATTAGAAAGTTCCATCAAAGTGAGAAGAAATCGGCGTGAGAAACCATGTATTTTCGTCATCTCCGCCTATGCCCCGACACATTGCAGCCCGGATTCAATCAAGGATGAATTCTACCACCAGTTATCTGTTCTCCAGAAAGTGCATTCGACAGATATTGTAGTACTAGCCGGAGACTTGAATGCTCAGGTCGGGCATCTAGGCACAGAAGAGAGTCGTTTAGGTGATCGATGGGGACCATCTACTGCCACTGTGCACAGACCACAACCTGTTTCTGGCTAGCACTAACTTTCGGCACAGTCATCACCGATGTGCCACCTGGCATCCTCCCTCTGCATCTCAAGATTGGACTCAGATTGATCACGTCGCGATCAGCTACCGCTGGCGTGGTTGTGTACAAGACTGCCGTTCCTTTTGGAGTACCTATCTGGACACTGACCATGCCTTGGTCTGCGCCAATCTTGCCTTACTTTTCAGTGGACAACGAAGTGAACGCCATCAACGGATTGATGTTAGCAAGCTGGTTGCAACTTCTGTTGCAAGTAAGTATCGAATCGAGCTAGCCTCTAGGCTAGCTACCATTCCACTGAAAAGTATAGATGAGCATTGGTTGCAATTGCATGACGCCATAAAAATGGCGGGTACAGTCAGTTGTGGGTTCGCGAAACGTCCCGCTTATAAGCACTGGGTTTCTCCAGGCTCCTTACAACTCATCGAAGCCCGTCGGTCTACTCCGGGTGACCGTGAGTTTGACCATAAACGAAGGATGTTACGCAAGGAAATTGGGCAAAGCTTGCGTAAGGACCGAGAAGCCTGGTGGTCGATGCGTGCTAATGAGCTGGAAGCAGCAGCTGCATCTGGTAACTACCGGAAGCTCTTCCAGCTCATCCGAGACACTGGCAGCGAGAGGTCTGGTGTGAGTTAAACAATCTGCGAGGATGATGGGACGCCAATCACTAACATCCATCGACGTCTTGGACGATTGGCAGAATTTTTCGAAGGGCAGTTCAACTGGACTGCTGCTCCGGCAACATCGGTCAGACTGTCCTGCCCTCCATGGCCGGTGACGACTGATCCACCAAATGAGGCGGAAGTTCGCAAGGAACTCCAACTCTTGAAGCGTTACAAATCACCTGGCCTAGATGACGTACCTCCGGCACTTTTTAAAAATGGTGGTGACTTTCTGACTAAGGAATTGACGACGTTGTTTACAAAAGTTTAGGAGCTAGAGAGTGTACCAACGTCATGGAATGAGTCGATAGTTGTCCCTATCTTTAAAAAGGGTTCACGTCGTTCCTGTAACAACTATCGGGGGATAAGTCTACTTCCGATTGCGTCCAAGCTATTGGCTTCCGTCATACTTCGTAGGTTGTTCAGAACTCGAGAAAGATTGACTCGCGAGGAACAGGCTGGGTGTCGTTCTGGTCGAGGATGTATTGATCACATCTTCACCCTCTGCCAAGTGTTAGAACACCGCCATACTTATCAAAGGCCAACAATCGTAGTGTTTCTTGACATCAGGACTGCCTTCGATTCGTTGGACAGAACTGTTCTCTGGGATTGTCTATTGAAGAAGGGTGTGCCTGAGAAGTTTATTAACATCCTAAAAGCCCTATATACAAACACCTCAGGCAGAGTGAGGGCATACAACCACCTCACTCCATTGTTCCATTCGAGCAGTGGGGTTAGGCAAGGTTGCCCAATCTCACCATTGCTCAACTTTGCCATCGATGACATTCTGGAAACAGCTCTGATGGATGTAAGTAATGGTGGTGTGGATCTGTTACCTGGAGAAAGACTTCTCGACCTTGAGTATGCGGACGATATTGTCTTACTGTGCGATAATGCCCAAGGCATGCAATCCGCACTTAATCAGTTGGCAATCAGTGTCCGTAGGTATGGTATGTGCTTTGCACCTTCGAAGTGCAAAGTACTTCTACAAGACTGGCAGGATTCTAATCCTGTACTCACTCTGGATGGTGAGCAGATAGAAGTAGTCGAGAAGTTCGTGTATCTGGGTAGCTGCATAAGTGCTGGTGGAGGTGTGAGTGATGAGATCAATGCACGTATAGTGAAAGCCAGAGCGGCTTATACCAATCTGGGTCACCTTTGGCGCCTTCGTGATGTTAGTCTGGCTGTAAAAGGTCGGATCTACAACGCGTCGGTGAGAGCAGTTTTGCTCTATGTTTGTGAAACCTGGCCTCTCCGAGTTGAGGATGTTAGACGACTCTGTGTTCGATCATCGCTATCTCCGAAGGATTGCTGACATTCAGTGGCAACACCATGTCAGTAATGCAGAGGTTCGGCATCGTGTGTTCGGGCACAGAGATGATAATTCAATTGGTGTCACCATCTTGAAACACCGACTTCGGTGGCTTGGACATGTTCTCCGAATGTCGTCCCAGAGAATTCCACGTCGTGCATTATTTGCCGACTCTGATACTGGTTGTAAGAATCGGAGAGGTGGTCAGTGCATGACATGGTGTCGTGGCATGAAAGAAAGCTGCAAAGGACTGGCTTCTGTCGGTCCTTCACGACTCCCTGGTTGGGGTCTGAGAGATGGTGCTACACAGTGGCTAGAGACGTTATCAGATATGGCTAAGAATAGAAGCCAGTGGCGATCCTGCTGTAACCTTCTTTTACTTTCTTCATAAAAAGTGGTTGTGTCTGCCTTAACTGAAGGGTTTCTTCTGATTGTACCTTTCCGTTCCCTCATTATTACTATTATTATTACTACACTACCTTACACCAACCTCTTCGTTATTATTCTCTTTTTTTCACGCTCCTTACCTTTTTTTCTTTCTCCTCGAATTCTCATTGTTTTGTGTGGCGCATATATATTGGCGCTCTCTTGTAACAATATTCATGTGTTCAAATAAATAAATGACAAGTTCAATTATTTCTTTGTTCCAGGTCAGTTTATCTTTAAAAAACATTTCATTGTTAATTTTGGCACCATCCTCTTAGTTGTTGCCAAATAAATGAATTTCAGAAGCTTGTAGAGGCTAATTTCCCTTATATCTGACTACATCCCGTTGACTGAATATTTAATGCAGACTAAATCTCCTAACAGAAGTATGGATTTACTTAAGATTTATTCAAAAGCCTAAACACCAGTTATAGAGATAGTTTGTAATATTACAACCAATGGGAGGATAATTGACGCGGTTCGGATAGCTCAGCGGTAACGTCTCTGACTGTGAAGCTGGGTGGCACGAGATTGAACCCGCCAGGGAGCACCAGTTCCCTCAAGATTACAGGTACACCTTGCTGACGAGTGCCTAGTAGCACGAAACCCGGGTCCAGGGTTTCCTGTTGACTACTTCCAACTACCATCTAAATGATTGACATATTCTCAATCAGACTCACACAGAAAATTACATAGTGGAGTAAGTGCCTAAATTACAGTAAGCAGATAAATAATACAATAGTGGAATGGGTTTCCCACAAGTTTACATCAATAATTTCCACTATATTCAATAATAATTTATATGTTACACGTTCTGTTATACTGAAAATGTGTCAACTAATCTTTTCACATAATTTGTATTATTTGTTATTAAAATATTGACTGTGTGAAGTATTCAAATCGGAGCAAATTTGAAATAATTTCACATTCCATTACCTAGTCACCAATCACTAATTTCAAGGTGAATTTCTAAATAAAACCACTTTGGTAGTTTGATAACTCATAGTACTGTAACGAAGATCTTAAACCAGTAATTGGATTATTAATTTTAAAGAAAAATTGTGTAAGTTCGTAAATTCAGCCGTGACCAGTGGAGCTAATCCGTGTCGGGTAGAAAAAAGTGTCTACCTCAGTACATTAGGAGATGGTCGCGCAATTTCGTGGATTGGTTGATGTTGGACACTAAAACCATTGGATGCCGGCTCAGTAGTCTTGTCTCGCGCGCGAGACTGAAGGCCCTGTGTTGGAATCTCGCGAGCGGAATCGTGGATGCACACTGCTGAGGAGTCCCACAATAGGACGAAACGGCCATCCAGTGCTTCCAGGTTTTCAATGATGTTCTAATATCAATCGATTCATGATCTCAATCAAAAATCTTTTTTTGTTTAACCATTCTACATCTATTTGATTCAAGCTTACACTTATCGGTTAATCTTCATCTCATCAATTAAATTGATTGCATTGTATATCAGTGTATCTTTTGAAGATATACATTTACATTAAATCGTACGAAAGAAAAAAATCGAAACTTTTGTACTTTCTATTTCACCATAATAATAATAATAATAAGTAATCACTAATTGCTTTCATTTTATTAAATTATACAAATTTACATCTATTTTGACTGTTGTTGGTTTTGATATTAAAGAAAAAATATATCGTCTAAATGTAATCCGACATGAATTCAGAAATTAGTCATTCACGGGTAATGGAATAAATGTTCCAGTTGTACCCATTGATCTATCATCAGCTTCTTTATATTCACCTATCAATCGTTTCGATGATTCTGGTCGTTTTCTTTCATTGACTGCCATACCTCTCCATAATATTTCATTTTTTAAAAAGTATTCTTTAAAATCAGCGTTTTGTTCTTCTGTTTGTCAGATACATATGTATGAAAAGGAGGGAAATAATAGATAAAATTTGACAAACATGAGCATTATAGTTTTTAGCGAAAAAAGTTGCTTCTCTATACATGCTTGTATGCTTTCTTCGAAGTAACTTTCGATTGCGTAATATTATTACCAAGATGACTAACTCCGGATTAAATAGAGCAAAACTGATATTACAAACATAAATTATTTGTATTGCCACTCAATTATTCTTGGTGGTTATTACATAATTGTTTAATACTGAATGAGTTATTTAGTTGGTACAAATCACCTATGATACATTAAGTAGTATTGAGAAGTTCATATTGATAATCGTTTAATATAGAAAATCTGTGGAGAGTTCATACTTCCATATTTTATATCACGGACTGACCTCAGTTGTATAAACAATGTAAATCAGAAAGTGCTGGACAGTTGTGTCGTTTTAGTATAAATTTTTTAACAGTGCACATCCATTATTCCACCTAGTATGAAAGCCAAAACTCTAAGGTTTCCCGGTAAACACTTAATATTTGGACTATTGTGTTGATATGATTTGCATTTCTAACTTCAATCAGTGATATTGCACAACCACTTTGTACATTACTGAAGAGTCCCATAATCGGGAAAAAACTGTCGAGTACTTGATTTTCAACAGGTCTCGAAGACAAGCCTTTTGTATAAACTATGATCATTAGGTACATTCATCATTATGCATTAAGAAACACGTAGACTGATTTTTACGTTACTTCAATACTCCATTATTATAATTAATCATATATTAAAAGTAGGGAGCTTGTAAATCAACCATCTTTGTTCTAGTCATAATTAGAACCACAGTCAAATGGAAGTATGTATATGTTTATCAAAACGAACAGATTGTATAACTTCATCAGAGAAGAATATGAACAGGTCACAAATGAAACGTTTGGAGATTCATTAAGATTGGTTAGCTTGTTCGGGCAATGACAGAAATTTAACCACAAACAAGACGGTTGTAACAAACGCTCCAGCTGGAATTTATTGTCACAACTTTTCGTGCTACTTAATCCTAGTTAGTAGTATAAAGTGAAACAAAAAAGTTCGTAAATAGGGGCTGGATTTTACGAATTCCCGAGAATTATTAGGAGCTTGTCATTGAAGATAGTCTGCAATCAACAGACACATTATGAATAGATTTAATATATCAATTTAAAAGGAAAAACTCTATATGTCACATAATAACTGGGGAAAACACCTGTAGGATGAATGAGGTTGATAAAACCTATAAAGACAACCGGTCGAGAACGTTGTCATTATGGAAGACTGATCTAGTGATGGTAGATTAATTAAAGTAGGCCCTAAAAATTTTTCAAAAAGGAAAACTAAATTTCCTCAATTGAACCATCCAACTCAAAGTAGTCAACAATTCAAGTAAGCACAAGGCTCCTATCAACATAACCTGGCAGGACCCCGTTAATAGTTGTTGCATACGAATTAAGAACCTTGAATTTACTTCTACCTTATCATTTTGCAAGTATCAAAATGTGTAAATATGCCCTTATCACCTATCTAATTACTTTGTCAATGTCGTATCGATGTTAAGATTTCTACTAAATTGAATAATCGATTCCAAATTAATCTCCTAATTTTAACGTGTTCAATATGAAACACCAATGTCTTGAGTTATGCCTTGTAATTATTTCATTACGTTCACTGTTTTCCTAATCCGAGACGATGTTACAAGTTCTTAATAATTCTTCAACAAGTTGCGAACTATGAATAAGCTAACTTCACTAGATATAATTTTTCCCATACCTTGGGATAAAATGTAATAGCTTACCACTTTAAAATCACATATATATTATTATTAACTAATGTTTCATGATTACAATGCATAACTTCATAGTGATTCAATCAGTTAAACAATTAGTCATCTTCGAAGGATGATGTAATACTCATCTCGATGGTACCTTCATATATCATGTAAATTAAAGGTAGGTTGTATGAGATCCATACATATTTTCATATTTTTCCAAAGGTCACTTGTAATCGCTTAATAAATACCTTTCTTCTTAGTTCATGAGTTAGCCTTGAGAATAAAGTCTCTTCCATATATTTCCACCTGTTTAATTTCGTTCAGAACGCAAGTGACAACGGTTCCAGGAGCCCAAAAATCGACCAGAAAATCAACTCCTCTAACATTAAGTTTATCAGATATATGCAATAATAATAATCATAATTATAATAATTTATTCATTTTTCCTATTAACTAACTCACTTAAAATGTCTTTAATACTTCTATTATGACCACCATATTCTCTAGGCAGTACACTTTCAAGACCAGGTACTTTTTCATAGGCTTTCTTTATATTACCTTTTACTCTTATAAACTGTTGGAAAAGAAAAAAAAGAAAAAAAACTTGTTTTAAGTCAAGAGCCTGATAACCATTTGTATGCGATTCTGTCGATTTATGCAACAAGTGAGTAATTATGTGACAAAAATGAGAAAATCATATCCGGTTGTGAGTTAATTGTTCATTAATGTCAATAAATGAGGATTCCATTGTAGTAAATATTGACTAAATATCAACACGTGAATCGTTGGTACTGGTCAGGAAATGTTAATGCCGTGTGCAATATTAATATTAGCCTGGATCACATGTTACGAAGTTATTTAATTCCATTAAGCTTACCTTTCTAGTCTTCCTTATGTAAACCATTTGAAACCAGGACGTACTGAACAATTACTTTGTGCTAGTGCGAAAGTGAATCTGCGTGCTCCTTGACCCCATCGAGGATTGAGACGAGGACCCGCAGATTTAACTTTGATTCGTCCACAATAGTGTGCGACCATCTTCCATAACTTTCTGTGATTATTTTTTAAGATTTCTTTTTTCTCATCAAAAAACTTGGAACACACAGGGAGTTGATCGAGTTTAAACCTAATAATATATCTTTATTTTAAAGCTTCTGTACACGTACATACAAGCGAACATTTATGTCAACCACAATGTCAGTAGCTAAATTTATGGTAGAATCTACCATAGAATAATTTACAGTTTATTATGTTCTGCTATCCGACCCAATCGCTTCCGAATTCTTAATCTTTTACCAACTAGTTACGTTGAGTAAACTAAGCCTCCATGGAAAGAGTTATCTCGAAAAACCTAACAAAAATATTCTCGGCTCAAGAATACCTATAAGTGACAATAATGATAGCAACATATGAACGCTGACCTTTCCCAAATGAATAACGCATTACCTCTCGTCATGCAGCCTGAATACAACCAATGATCTATTCCTCTTCACCCGTTATTTATTACCTACAATTTAACTAATTATAACGCACTCATCATCTTTCAAGAAGAACAACACTAGAAACAACACTTGGAAATGTGTCAATACCATTTTAAATTATGTTTGATTAACAAGACGAAAAAAGTAGAATAACAAGACTTCTTTTGATGTCTTGATCATCAAATCAAGGATTAATGAAACTGATCATGTGCTCAACTTACAAAAAGAAGTATTATAAGTAATATCTGTGTGATTTTATAACAAAATAGTTCACTGTACATGTCATAGAACTCCTGATAAACAAAAAACTGAAACCAGATTAATTTCTAAGTTTTAAAGAAGAAAATATCTTGATTAATATGAAGGAGGGCAACGGCTTTTAAAGTTGATCTCCAACGGAATACTAGAAAATGAGTGATTCTCAGGAATGAGCAAGTATATAATTCACTTACACTTTGGAATTGTAACGTTTTAATCTTAAAATATCTACAAATTGTGTTTATATAATTAGCTGTTGATTATTTAGTAACGAGTGATGCCAAGTCAAGTATCTTAATATTGATCAGTACGAATATGATCCATGAATATCAGAGTAATTGAATCTATTTTTCGCGTTGAAATAATTCCTCATTTCACAACTAATTTATTCCTTCATATCCGTAAACATGTTTCGGCCGGTATACAATAGGACAACGACCAACGGTTAAGAGAAATTACAGTAGTATTTAGATAATACGTATATATAACCTTCGATCATTCATTTACATCTCGCGATGTGTTCTGCAAACTAAACTGTCTTGTCTGGCCATCAAGTATTTTCCCTACGCCATGCTTTCGATGTACTGAAACTCTTCATTCCACCTGACGACTGTGACAACTTCGAAGCCACGTTCCACTATATACTATTTACACGAGATCTTGTGAATAGCGTCCACTACATTGGGATAGAAAAACTGTACTACATCAAGTAAACAACATACATTTGGTCACATATGCAGTGATATTTAAGTGACAAAATCAACTAATTAAAGTAATTTGTTATTTTTCACGTAATCATAACCGTTTATCAAAACCATAACACTGACAAATTTATTGATTATCTCATTCTATAATCATGAAACTATTCTCAAATGAACTAAAAGTATTATTTTTGAAATAATGATCATTTCCAAGATTTCAATAAACTTCTGGTATTAACAAACAATGTCATACAATTGTATCACATCAATTATAATATGCGATAGTGATGAACAAAACAACAACATCGATGTCATCTACAAGAGCGGATGGTTTCAACAATAATAATAATAATAATAAGTCATATTGGATAAAGTTGATGCAAATAAATGCACACACTCGATACTTTCTCATTCATGGTCATGCATAAGTAATTCAACAACATATTGAGAATAACTATAAGTTTTGAATTTAAGGTTTGATTAAAAACAATGTAGAAATGTCTCTGAATCATATGAAATTTGATACTTGAAAGTAGAACATTTGAGAAGATACGTCATTATAGATCCAGTTTATTAGTCAATAAAATAATCGATACATAGTCATGTGATGACGATTATGAATAAGTAATTAACATGAGTATCAATATATATTGTACCACAACCATCAAATCAAATTTGTAGTGATTATCAACGATCACCTCTCTCTCTCTCTCTCTCTCTCTCTCTCTCTCTCTCTCTCTCTCTCTCTCTTACCAACTCACTTCCAACAATAGCCTGGACTGGACTACTTTGTCGAGTTCATGAAATTCAAAATAATTATCACTATTAATAAGATAATTTGGAAGGACTAGACAAGCATGAGATTGATCACCACCCAGTGATCAATCAATTGTGATTACATCTCAGTCCTACAGGAGGTTAGTCACGGCTTGGATAGCTCAGTGATAACGTCTCTGACTGTGAAGCTGCGTGACACGAGATCGAATCCGCCAGGGAGCACCAGTTCTCTCAAGATTACAGGTACACCTTGCTGACGAGTGACAAATAGCACGAAACCCGGGTCCAGGGTTTCCTGTTGACTACCTCCAACTACCATCTACACTTCGGATCCGTTGGCCGGACACTTTTAGCAACAACCAACTGTGGGAAAGAACAAATCAGATCCCAGCGGAGGAAGGATTTAGGAAGAAGCGCTGGAAGTGGATAGGACACACATTGAGGAAAGCACACAACTGCGTCACAAGGCAAGCCCTCACATGGAATCCTCAATGCCAAAGAAAAAGAGGAAGACCAAAGAACACATTACGCCGGGAAATGGAGATAGATATGAGAAAAATGAACAAGAATTGGATGGAACTAGAAAAGAAGGCCCAGGACAGAGTGAGTTGGCGAATGCTGGTCGGCGGCCTATGTTCCATTAGGAGTAACAGGCGTCAATAAAGTAAGTAAAAACTGACTTATTCTCTTTCGAAATGATTTATTAGCAACTAGATTAGAAATCATGGAACTAAGTTAAAGTGATCAATAATGTTTTAGTAAATAATCAAATAAATACTACTCTTGTATTTATAGGTAACATGAAAGTTGTATAATTTATTCATCTCACAAGAAAAAGCCTTTTCTTTTTTCTTTTTCTAATCCAGTACCAACATTATAAACTTCAATTGTTTCATTATTGTTTAATTAAATGGTGTCAGTGTTTTCTTTTAAACATACAGAAAGTCACACTGACATTATTATAATTTTCAAAGTAAAACAAACAGAAAATGTCTTATTTTTAATGTAGCAACAAGAATTGACTTTCAATTAATAATCAATCCTGTATTTCTTATTTTCTATTTGTTTACTGTACATGGTTTCATTGTGAAGCTTTCAGTGTCATAAATGTGAATGCCTTTTTGAATGATAATGTAAACTTTATAATTAAACGATCTAGTTTACAGAATACATAATTAATTATGAAAGTTAGTTCATTTGGATTTAGTTTTCATTATGATCTATGAAATGAAACTAAATGAACAAAATGTTCTCAAATACTATCAGAAATGTGTAGGTTGTTTTCGGGTTGACCAAACTATCAAAGAATATTTCTTTTTGTGATACTTGTAAATGAAACTGAGTTACAATTGATTTTGATAGCGTGATCATAAAGCTCAAGGACTGGTCATAAATGACATTTTTGCTAGTAGTCGTTATGAATTAGTTATATATCTTATAGACTTTATCATATGAGGCGGAAATCTGTAGGGTAGATTAAGGTGTGTTACTTTTAGGCCTAGTCATTTATAAATCCCTCCGTTATAGAAAGGCAGCATCACCCCAGATGCCGATTGTCTAAAAAAATAATCTTATTGTCCTGACAATAATACGGCTTTATCTTTCGACTATGAGTTTTATGCTTCTAAACTTATCGTCTTCCAATTGATTTGTCTAGCATGGTAGAGTCTAAATGAAAAAATGTAGAAAGGGACGGACTATTATAAGTAAATAAGTTATTCATCTTACCAAGGTCACAACCTACATAGCCTTATTTGTATTAGTGAGAGTGTGTGTATGTGATGGAAATTCCTAAAAGTCGCACATACTTTTATTTGGTTTCGTCATTAAACCTCTCTACCCTTTCTTAGTCTTGTATTCTCTCATGGTTAATAGGAATAGCAGTTAAGATACCTGTGATAAGGACTAAAACGATTCGGCATACCATAATACACGCTTGAAACTCAACTACATTTATTCACAGTATTTGTTACTAACTGTTAAAAAATATTTTTGTTAAGTAAATCTGTTTACGAGTTAACATTATATTCCTTGATTTGTGGCCTTCGACATAAACGATTTCTTATCTGTTCATATAAAAAAGTTAGTAAACGTTAAGTCAGGATAAAAAGTGGCTGTAAATTTCGGAAAATGAAATCTGATATGTAAAGTTTAATTTGACTGTAACCTAACAGTACTAATGCACATCAACACACTCCCATCTAAATTAATGCTACGAACACACTCTATGTAATCCAGAACATCACGAATTAAATTGAAATTCATACTAGTTGCACAAGTGAGCAGTTAAATAGAAAACGTGTTGAAGTTTTGAGCTAGCGTTACTATGTTCTAATCCCGGAGTGAAAATCAACTCAGAAGTGAAGCGATACATCCTACTAACGAGTCCTAAATGAAATGAAAAGCGCGTCCTCAATTCAACTGCTAGCCACATTCCACCTTCTCTGTGTATTTTATATGAATACCAAAAATATTTTAAAAAACCTACCCGTTCTCTAACTTTTGGTCTCAACCACAGTGCTAGTAATTTGAACAAAACTTCCATAATTGGCGGTTCATTATAATAGATTATTCCTTTCATACGAAATGGATAAGCTTCCTAACGGAAAATAATTAGTTACAATTAAGGTTAACTTTTTTTAAAAGTAATTTCAAAATTTTAATTCGTTTGTAAAACTAACCACGGAGATTGGATGCATGTCTGTGAATTTATTCCACATCCTCTTTTTTGATTGTTAAGTATGTGTAGGGTAGAAATTATTTTCGAGTAATTTTCCCGTTCATCTAGGGGGTGAGTGTAACACGTATGAGCATAATTTACGCTGAGATTTTCATTTCAAGCTCTAACTTTCACTTTGTTTGCTTATTTTCATCTGATAATTTAGAATTCTCTATAGTGCGATGTTCATGGAAGGCATATATACATATGCCGGGATAATTGATATCCTCATATGAAGCACTCATCCACTAGACAAAGGAGAGAATGCTTGAAAATATTAAACATCACACTTTTATTGAATATTGGAAAAAAAACGTATGGACGGTTAATGGATTTATTGAAGTTGCCTATAGAGGTTTCTGTCTGTAAAATAAAAAATAACAATTTATATATTCTTCCGTATGGATATGCAGCATGCTACATTTTGGACGATGTTCAATTTGCCTCGATATATCTACAATTATCAATGAATCTGCAGTGTTTCTTATAAACAACAATATGATAATAATATTTCAGTCTGAAAAGGGATTTATAAACCCCCAGTCACGCATAAGCACCCTTGTTTCAGATTGAATCAATTTCTGAATTATTGGTATAAGTATCTGTTGTGACGGGCAATGTCCAAAATCTGACACTGATACATGGTGTGCTACGCGTTAACTCTCTAACTGACTACTTGAGCGAGAACACAAGAGTGGGACAGAAAGTGCATAGGGCTACCGAATAAAATGTACAAAGACTCATTCATATATATATATCACTCTAATCCTTAAGAAATTAATCTATTTCTTAGCCAATGAAATGCACTCGTCTTTTAGGTTACTTCTGATTGCCATCGGTTGACTTTCTCATTAGGCTACCTCTGATTGGCTCTCCATACCAGTAATTAATATTTAGATTTTCACTTTTTGAAGTGACTTTTAAATAGTATTCCATCCCATGTTCCAGAAACTTACAGACACTTACCCAATCCTCCTTCACACTCCGTCCCTTGCTACATTTAGGTTTTGTGATTATTGTCTCGCTTGTCTCAACAACTTTTCCCAATATAACCAAACAATATTTCTAAGAATATTTCTCGATATATACTGATACCAATAGATTGCAGTCACTTTAGTTAAATTCATCAAAGCTGGCCCAACAGTCATTATATTACCAGTAACACCATTTATGTTAAAATCAGCCTTGATGTAATTTGTTCTAATGAACATTTTCTGTAGCAACAGTTGCATTTGAAAACAATCCTCATGCTTCATTTCGAAAACATCTTTATTAATTTACAAACTCCAATCATACTTCATTTTTCTTCGCAACAAACTTACAGTTTGAAAGTATTGTACAATCACGCTTTCATCAAAATCACACAATATCGCTTTGTCAACGGTAAGCATTTTCAGTTCAAAGACGGGTTGTAACCTTGAAATCGCTATCAAGACGCTGATCGATCCTTTCATTATGCATTCGCCTACCTTTACGCGATTGTCATTTGAATTGTGTACGTACAATGTTGTTTATTATGAAATTAAATATTTTGACATTATATTAGTCAGTTAATATGAAAACAAAATTATTTAACAATGTTTCTACTGGACCGAAAAAATGTATGTATGTACATATAAAAGCTTACCTGTAATACTTTACTTAAATCTTTAATGGTCTTTTTCGGATTAATTGTATCCAATAGAGAAGGTGAGACACCGGTGAAATCAATAAATACTCGCAAACCACAAATTTGAACTCTTGGATCTTCCAAGATACGATCTAACTGAATCATGAGTAATTTGAGTACACTCTCGGTAGATACACGATTATTGTTCCAGCAACCTAAAAACAAAATAATTAATGCATACTCTGAAAATGTCAAATTAACTAAGAATTGAATATTGTATCGTTTGGAGTAAAAACATTATTTTAAGAGTTGAATTCATGAGTCGATTTAACCTAGACCACTATTAAAAACCCGGAATCACTAAACGACCGTCTCGTCCTATTATGGGACTTCTGAGTAGTGTGCATCCACGATGCCGCATGCAGGATGCAAACCCAGGATCTTCAGTTTCGTGCGCGAACATGGGATCGTGGATGCGCACTGTTGAGGAGTCCCATACTAGAGCGAAATGGTCGTCCAGTGCTCCCAGGTTTTTAAAAGTAGTCCAGCTCAGATCAACTCATTAATTCAACTCATAACATTAATTCAATCTCCACAAATTCTCATTCTGATAATAAAAAGAATTTATTATTCAAATACGATCTCTTACCACATGCAGCTTCCCGGATAAAGGGACCATTTAGTAATACATATGTTTCGAATTCAGGACAGAGATAATGGAGAAAGATTAAAAAGTATGGATTGATTAAGGTCATTTTAAAAATGCCAAAGCAATTAGTTCGGATGAATGGTATGAACTAATTTGTTTACTTGGTTAGTTAATCATTAGACATATTGATGCATACAGTCACAAACTTGATTAAGGAAATGTTCAAATTCTGGATCAAGAAGATTTCTAGGATCATTAAATTAAAATCAACTGACAGACATATCGATATAGATCAAATTTATATATCGATGTGGAAAAAGTTAAACAATCACCATCGTCAGACACCAACTGTTCAAACAGCCAAAAGGGAACAAAGTGAACCCATAAAGACAATAAACCAGTAAATATAACCAGTCGAAAACATAGTTATCAGGACGAATAATCAGAAATCTCGCTTTTGCTGATGTTGTTCAAAATAAAAACACGAGCTTCGTACTTAGATCATCTAACCTACAAAATGCAACAAAACCGAAATCATCCACCTGAGTAACAAAGATTTCTCATCACTTCAAAACTTTGCACTACTGAAAAAGAGACTGATCTATTGCAGTCCTAAAGGTCAATGGAAAGATTCAAACAACTAATACAAGTAAACCAATAGCACTTTTTCAACAGGATGTGCACTCAAACCCAGAGATTTATTCTTCCATCACTCTGTCCCATGTTCATAGTTATTAGTCATGTAAGACTGAATGTTGATCACTTACAGTAATCCATATCAGTGTGTGATACTACTTAAATAAAAATTAACTTGGTAATCATTTAAGTCAACTGTGCTAAATTTAGATCCATTTAAAATTGTTTATATTTATATATTATATATATATATATATATATATATATATATATATATATATATATGTTTGTCTGCAAAAGATTATAATAACTTACCAATTCGAATCAGAAATAAAAATGTCCCATCATGAAGGAATCCAATTGGACAATGAAAGCTGATCAGAATAATAAAAAAACATTGAAATAATGAAAAAAATGGTTTATAATCAAACAGGGGTTTTGTGGATATTATAGTAAATTGACAGTTGAATTCATGAGGCAGTTGAAGCTAGATCACCATGGAAAACCTGAAAGCATTGGACGGTCGTTTCATACCAGAATGGGACTTATCAGCATTAGTCATCTACGATCCCGCCCCACAAGATTCGAATCCAGGACCTATCAGTCTCGCACTCGAACGCTCAACCTTATTTATATTAGATATTATTTCATTTTAAAATGTTTTATCCAAATATTTACTAACAATGAGCAACAATTACATTCTATTTATTTAAATTGCTGTTAGCATTTGTTCAACAATCATGAAATATTTTATAATGATCATTATTAACTTTTCATTCTGTTCATCTATTCGATTTAATGTACAGAAACAGTTGTTGAATACTGAATGATTCAACAACTGCATATCATAGCAACATAATTGAATATATAGTTGTATTTTGTTTCTTTTGAAACAAGTTACATTGATTAAAGTTATGAAAAATGCACATTTCTAGGTTGATAAACAACTTCTAATGCGTGTGTGATGCTGCAACGGTATAGTTAATACTGTAAATAGCTAATCATAAATTAAGTAAAATCGAAGCCCCATTATCGAAAAGGACATGTCCAATTTATGATCTTAGCTTGATCAAATTTTTATAAATTTATTAGATGATCTAATTTACTTAATGTAAATACTCCCTACCCTACATTTTCTAAAGAAAAAATTGTGAACTTATATTTCATTTTTTCGAATGTGTTTCCCTTAAACTTAGCTATTCCGTCAGTCAGTCACGTGGCCGGAGGTCAACAAAACAAAAATCTCATTAGGAAATCAAAGAAAATCTGAAAAAAACCACTCACAGATAAGGTCATCGGAACAGGATGATCTAGCAATTGAGGATTAAATAAACAGCTCACTTCTATGCGAAGCGAACTCTGATGTTGTCCAGAACAGCGATAAAAGCTTTGAAATTAAACCAGCTAGCTCAGAGAATATAACACAGTACTTCCAGGATTTTAATCGTGATCCTACTTTAATCGGTTTATGATGTCAACGAAATCCAAAAAAATACATTATACCATTAAAGCATGATGAGAATTTATTGCAAAGAATAATCTTCTTTCATGTTAGATAGTGGTTGGAGGTAGTCAACAGGAAACTCTGGACCTAAGTTTTATGCTGTTTAACACTTATCACAAAAGTGTACCTGTATCTTGAGGGGACTAATAATCTCTAACAGATTCAATCTCGTGTTACTCAGCTTCATTGTCAGAAACGTGACCACTGAGCTATCCAGATACATGATATTGGTCGCTACTCAGTGATAGATCAGTTGTAAAAATATTTTCTATCTTATTATATACATTTTAATATGATGTTACGTCTGTTCAACAGTAAAATAAAAATTACTGACCGCTCGATTACAATTTAATAGTTTAAATGGAACAAGTCCATAGTATAGCATGAACATCTTCAGTTTGAATCCATGGTTGGAGATAGTCATTGTACACTTATAAGAAATTCAGACCTAAGTAAAAACAATTCAGTGTTCCCTCATTTCCAGTAGTTTATCAACTAAAGTCAATTTATGAAACAAATAGGTTGAACAAATCTAGACATATCATGTGCTTGTGCTCACATGCCATCTCAATTTCAACTAGTAATTGGGAAAAGATAAACAAGTCACTTTTTGGGAAGCAATCGATTCTGCACTTGGTCAAGGTCCCAGCCTTAATGACCTAGTCTGATTCAGAAATATATATATATATATATATATATATATATATATATTCATACCTGTGATGTTTGTATTTTATCATTTTGCCTTGTCAATGAAATCTTTCTAGTCATTTCTCAGTCTTCTCACTAGTATATTTAGTTGAGCATACTATTGAAATGGTAGAGATGATGTTCGGTTTTTCTTCTACCTGAAGTTTGCGCTGATGTTGTTCAAAAAGAACGAAGGCTCAACAACTAAACCAACCAGCTCATTCGACGAAACTCCACCAAAAAACCGAGCATGCCATCTATCTGAATTGACGCGTCTGATAATAACAGAATTGAACGAGAACACAAGTGGGGACAAACTAATGTATTTTAATAAAACATAGCAGAATATCTTAGTAAAATCTGAGAACCGTACAGTAAATACTTTATTTGCAAAATGTTCATTAATTGTCCTGCATTCCCATACCAATTGCCTTCTGTCCCCATTCTTCCCTTCTCGATCTTCTCAAACTTCTGCTGCCAGGTATTCTATTCCTGAATAGCGTTACATACTACTTATGTCGAAATAAGTAGCACACACCACAGTATTAATTAAATGCTAATGAACTAATTAATTAACCACATTTACTCAACCAATTACTTACCCCATGTTTAAATATTCATCAAGTATTGTATTAGTTATGGTTGAACGATCATACCAATTAACCACAGGACTTTCTGGTGATGTACGCAATGTGATAAAATTATCTAAACGCATTTGAGCTTCTGAATGATTATATTTTGCTTGACGTAGAAATGGCAAGAATATTCGATCATCTAAAAAACGACAATATATCGATTATACCTTTAAAATGAAAATATAAACAATGGTGGTGAAGACTTGTAGCTCAGGTGGATGATTTTGATGGAGTTTTGTTCTCTGACCTGAATGGTTCGGTCGACTCCATCAAAATAAAAACAATATTTTATGATATATTCTTCATATAGTCTCTATTGTAAGTCATCTTATGATTTGGTTAATCAGTGTCATTCCCATTTATCTTTTGAAAAGTAAAATTTACTTTAAAATCACTAAGATGTACAATGTCATTTGATTACTGAATGTCATCCAATGTCATTGTTTGTCTAACTCTACATAGAACCCATTAAAATTCTACCGATCAATTTGAAAGTGTATCTAATAGTTTAAATGACTCGATATTATGTGCACTATGTTGGAATGAGATCTGATTGACAGATAATCAGTATCAAGTCTTGAATTAATGTCCCATGTTAGGTAACACTTGTTAACAATACAACATGATTGATACAGACTGAATATATGGTCTGTTAGTTCAAAACCAGGATGCTTTCTAATCGTTAATTTATTAATTTACATAAGTATGAAGTATGCATTAGCACAAATTCATAGCTGATATTTTATTTGTTTATTTCGACAGAAATGATAATAATAACCATCAAATATGAGCTTCGAGTCAAAATGTTTGTATGATGTTTAGTAGTGCTGAACAGAACGAGATGACGAACTGAGTAAACTTACAACTCATTAATTGGCATCGAGTGCCTTAGTCACTAAGCTACTTCGTTAAGTATTTCATCACGTTAAACAGTATAGAATAAATGGATTTATGACTAACAGCGGAATCAGCTTAATGTATATCCATCCTAGTGTTGATGTTGGTGTGTCCTTGAAACCATTACAACTCACAGAACTATCTGTTCAATAAAAAACTTGTACAAAATGGCCATATTGAGACAATCTACACCAGATGCACATATATCAACAAACAATAATCAAAATCCAGTCAAAAACATCAGCATTGGTATAATTAAAATCCCTTGTCATAATGATATCAATGAATGAATATATTTCAATTGTCTCACTTTATACAAGTCCTAAACGTTGTTTTCTCTTTTGACATGTGCTTTGCAGCAGTATCGATCAAAGAACACATAACGCCGAGAAATGGAGACAGAAATGAGAAAAATGAACAAAAGTTGGATAGAACTGGAAACGAAGGCCTAAGACAGACTGGGTTAGAGAATGCTGGTCAGCTGTCTATGCTCCATTGGAAGTAATAGGCTCAAGTTCATTTCAAGTTCAACTTAAAACTTATTTATTTTCATTTGCCTCATCCATAAATTTAAATAATCTAGATCTTACTAAACATTTAGATCATGTTAGAGTTATGGTTCAGTTTTATGTAAATGTTTAAAAAAGCCAGATAATTGATAATAGCGATTTTAATACTGTATAAGCATCAGATTCAGTGATGAAACGAAAACTTAAGTCATAAAAAGACGTAGGATTTTCCCTTTTTTCTGATACTTACAACAAAATTATCAAATATATTCCAACAAATATAAGTCTAGGGGATTTGTGACGTCACAGAATTCTCATATTTTAAACTATAAAATGACCTTGGCTGGATCAATATTGAGAACCTGGAGGGACTGAATAGCCGTTTCGCCCTAGAGTTGAATTCTTCAGCAGTACTCATCCACAATACCACATCCGGGAATCGAACCCAGGGCCTTCTGTCTTGTACACAAACACATGACCTCTAGACCACTGAGTTGGCTTCCATACCTCCAAAAGTAGTCTAGATAAGATTAATTAGTCATTTAAAATTATGAAAATCCTACAATGTCCAAAAATCTCTCAATATGAATAACATATGTGCTCAGTAGTAAAACTCCGCCCGTAGCTCTTCTAGAGTTACTGCCGGTCCAAAGGCCAGGTAAAGAAGGAGGGTAGAACATGGTGTTAGCGACACCAGCCCGTAGAAAACTAACTCGCTAAAATACACTAACCAGAAAAAATAATTCAAACCATTTGAACTCTGCCCTGAAAGTTAGAAGGTCTTCATTTAAAAGAATTATGACGCCTCATAGTGAAAACCGAATTCCTTCGGAAGCCACGAGGCCGATGCTCCTTCTAACAACCACAGCAACAATTTTTATAGGTACATGGAACGTCCGAACAATGTGGGAAACCGGGAAGACCAGTCAAATAACAACGGAAATGAGGAGATACAACTTGATAGTACTGGGAATCAGCGAAACCCATTGGACTCAAGCTGGACAACAAAGGCTAAATACGGGAGAGATGCTGCTATACTCCGGTCACGAAGAGAAAAATGCTCCACACACTCAGGGAGTCGCTCTAATGCTGTCCAAGGTAGCACGAAATTCACTTGTAGGATGGGAATCTCACGGATCCAGAATCATCAAAGCATCATTCAAAACAAAGAAGGAGGGGATCACAATGAATACTATCCAATGTTATGCACCCACCAATGATAGCAACGACGACATTAAAGATCAGTTCTACGAGCGGCTGCAGTCAATCATAGAGAAGTGCTCAAGAAAGGACCTCACCATTCTGATGGGTGATCTAAACGCCAAAGTCGGAATAGACAACACCGGATATGAAAATATCATGGGACGACATGGACTGACTGGAAGAGAGAAACGAAAATGGAGAAAGATTTGCAAATCTATGTGCATTCAACAAATTGGTCATAGGAGGCACAATATTTCCACACAAACGTATACACGAAGTTACATGGATCTCACCGGACCACACTACAGAGAACCAAATAGATCATATTTTCATCAATAAAAAATTCCAAAGGACAATGAAAGATGTGAGAACCAGGAGAGGAGCTGATATAGCTTTAGATCACCACCTAGTTGTGGCCAATTTAAAACTGAAGCTAAAGAAAAACCGGACAACTAGACAAACAGCACTATAAAGTTTCAATACAGCCTTCCTTCGAGAGACTGACAAACTCAATAAATTCAGGATAGGTCTCAACAACAGGTTCCAAGCCTTACAGGATCTACTGAAGGAAGAAGAAACTACTATGGAGGACAACTGGAAAAGTATCAAAGAAGCATTAACTTCAAAGTGTCAAGAGGTTATGGGCCTAGAGAAGCACCATCATAAGGAATGGATCTTCATAGAAATACTAGACAGGATCAAAGAAATGAAAAACAAGTAGACAGCAACTAGCAAAGGCCGAACACGGGTAGAGAAAATTTAAGCACAAGCTGAGTACATAGAAGCAAACATTATGGAGTTCCTGAGAAGATTGTCAACATCATCTGGAACTCATACGATGGACTACATTGCAAAGTCGTGCATGGAGAACAGCTGACAGATGCATTCCAAGTAAGGACCGGTGTCAGACAGGGCTGTCTACTCTCTCCCTTCCTCTTTCGTCTGGTGGTCGACTGGATTATGAAGACCTCGACATTTGAGGAAAAACACGGCGTACAGTGAACAGCTCAGAATCAATTAGATGATTTGGACTTCGCAGATGACCTAGCCCTCCTATCGCATACACATGAACAAATGCAGGTGAAGACAGACATTGTGGCGGAAGTCTCTGCAACAGTAGGCCTCAACATACACAAGGAGAAAACCAAGGTACTCAAATGCAACACGGAGAACAGCAATGCAATCGCTCTTGATGCCGAAACTCTGGAAGATGTAGAATACTTCACACACCTGGGAAGCATCATCGAGGAACGTGGAGGATCGGATGCAAACGTAACGTCAAGGATTATCAGAGCAAGGGCCTCATTCTTACACCTGAAGAACATATGGGACTCAAGACGACTGTCAACCAAAATCAAAGTCAAAATCTTCAATACGAACGTCAACGCAGTTCCACTGTACGGAGCTGAAACTTGGCGAACCACAACAACCACCATCAAGAAGGTACAAGTACTTATAAATAGTTGTCTACGCAAGATACTCAACATCCATTGGCCGGATACCACCAGCAATAGCCTTCTCTGGGAGAGAACAAACCAGCTTTCAGGTGATGAGGAAATTAGGAAAAGACGACGAAAATGGATAGGACATGCATTACGCAAATTACAAAACTGCATCACGAGGCAAGCCCTAACTTGGAATCGTGAAGGGAAGCGGAAAAGAGGGAAGCCAAAGAACACATTACGTCGGGAACGAGAAGCAGATATGAAAAGCATTAATTACAATTGGAAAGAGCTGGAGAGGATTGCTCAAGACAGGGTTGGATGGAGAATGCTGATGGTTGGCCTATGCTCCTTCACGAGGAGTAACAGGCGTAAGTAATTAAGTTCACTAGGAAATGTCTTCAAGACGCAACTCATAATTCTAGTGAGAAGCTGTGCCTCGTGTAGTTCAAACATGTCTAGTGTAAGGTAATTACCCACCGTAGGTAATGGATGAGTGTTTCACAAGATCATGAATTGACTAAAGTAAGACATTGACACTAATGAATACCGGCTCAGTGGTTTGAATTTCGAGTGTCTGCATACAAAACCAAAGGTCCTTGGTTCGATTCCCGGATTCGGGGTCGTAAATGTACACTGGTGATAAGTGTTACACTAAGACGAAACTTCCTTCTATTGCTTCCTAGTTTGTAATAATGTTCTAGCTAGTGCCAGTGCATGATTTAAATTTTAAAAATATACATGTATCAATTCTATTTCCAATAAGTCAATAAAATCAAATCATTTTCACTGATCAATTAATCGATTACAAGACGTTCCATCATTTAAATAATTAAAAATTAACCGATATTTAATTTTATAAATACAATCAAAATCAATAAATTTTGTGCGATTAGTATCATTAGTTAATTCAATAATTAATTATTTATTATTAGAAAAACAATTAAATTATCAGTGTGAAGTTGTGAAGATTGTTACATTTTTTATTGTGATCATGAATGAATGAGTGTTAAGCTTTTGTACGAGAGACCGAAGGTTCTGAGTTCGAATCCCACCTATGGGATTGTAGATACGCACTACTACAGCGTCCCATATAAGGACAAAACTACCGTCCAGTGTTTCTAGGTTTTCATTGGTGGTCTACCACTCATTGATCGATGATCTCAATTAAAAAATTAGTTAAATATCTTTATTATTATTATTATTATTATTATTATTATTAATGGTTTTATTCAATATAATATTTTGGTACAATATAGAAATCTCAGCACAAGGTATCTCAGCAAGTTTCTTTTACAAAAAAGAAAGCAAACAGGGTTAAAAAATGATCTGAAAAACTGTACAACTTTCCAAATTACAGACGTGTTAAGAATGCAGGTTATTGACTAGATTGACTCTAACAACTTGTTCGTCACAGAGTATATTTGCTTGGTAAGGTATTATAGGACTTTTATACTTTTGCTTGCGTGCATGGATTTTAATGTAATTACGTCTCATTCTACCAGAAGATATACAAGGAGAAAGATATCAGTGAAAGGGATGGTTAGTATCTGATAAGATAACGCCTGCTAGGAGTTTGCATGACTTTAGATGTCTATCCACAACCATATTAATTATGACCTCGAAAGATAATAAATACAAGTCTAAATTGATTTTGAAAATCTAAAGAAAGTAATCTGAAGAATCGTAAGATAATAAGGATGAAGAAATGTTATCCCTTGTCAGAAAGTCTAAATTTCCTCAACGGTGAAAACATTTTTGTCATATAGTTATTCTAAGTACATGCGGATAGGATACACTTTGAGGAAAGCACCCAACTGCGCCACAAGACAAGCCCAAACTTGAAATCCTTGAGGCCAAAGGAGGAGAAGAAGATGAAAGAACATATTACGCCGAGAAACGAGAAGAATGAACAACAATTAGATAGAACTAGAAAGGAAGGCAGAGGACCGAGTGGGTTGGAGAATGTTGGTCGGCGGCCTATGTTTCATTGGGAGTAACAAGCGTAAGTAAGTACCCGAAGTACATATTTATCATTAATTCTTTCCAGTATATCCTATGATAAATAAATTCCTAATGAACAATGACCATTAATATTACATATATACACACAGTTTAGTTGGAAAACGTTTTTATTTAAACATTTACAGAATTCGAGTACAAAGTCAAATTTTGTCTTAATTCCATTAAAACAGTAATAACTCTGTGATTTAATTCTCAATAGCTTCCAGTACTTGATGTATGTATTAGTCGAAATGTATTAGCAAAATAGAAATATATTTATATATTACTCAAATAAGTCTATAAAATGACGTCATAGAAACTTTATAGTACTGAAATTTAAGGCAAATCAATCTTCTGTCTTCCAAAATACTTCCCGTCCTCTGGATTACACTTGTCTTATCTCTGTATTTTTTGAACTTCAAAACATTACCAAACGTTCTCAGAAATTAGACTTTTGATTAGCTTGATCGTTTCAAGAGATTCCCTTAACACCATCATGTGAGGCAACAATACAATTCATTAGCGACCAACTAAAAATCAAATCAGCAGTCAGAAAGCACAATGCACAGTACATATTTAATGTTTTCATCAACACAGAAGGTCAGTAGTCATTCTGGTCTTTTATCATCCATACGTTCTTCATGATCTTCGCTGAAATCCTTAATCCAATTGAAAAAAAGTACTGCTTCATTTAACGGATTTTCTTCACAATCACCGCAAATACATTTCATGAATTTCCCGAACTCCCTAGGATCCACACTGACTAATTGCAGTCCATGACGAAACCCAACTTTAATCCTGAACCATCCAAATGATAATTTATGGTTTGATTATTATTATTAATTAGCTTTGAGATGGTTTTCTGTCATTTTTTTTAAGATCGCACTAGTTACAAATTTATTCATTTTACATGTTATTATTATCTAAAAAAGACGTAGGACACACTGTAGAAATGAGAAAGAATTCTATGTTGTAATATATAAATTGTAATTTGGATTCTTTCGATCTTTATTACCCAATCTCCAAGCTAGAAAAAGTATAACTAATTTATCAAGATGGATCTCTTGGATGATATTTCATTATTGACAGTGTTGGATTCTTGGAACTATATGATCTAAATATAGCGTTGTCATTATTTTTTCAGACATCATCATCATGGCTAATTCAAACATTGGAACTGTTACAATTTCTTCATTTGATCGACATTTTTCATTAACTAATAAAATCAGTTTATACTGTTGGTGAAGTCTTAGAAGATAAGATTAAATCATTCTTGTGAATTATAAATTTTATCTTCCATTACAGACTGTTATAAATTAGAATGCTAAAAATCTATATCACACTGTTTAACATTAAAACATACATCTTGCAATTGTATAGTGTAATTGTAATTATTACAAAGTGAGGGAACACTGAAGTTGGACTTCAATTGACGTTCACATAGAAAAAACTCCCGCGTGTGGTATCGCGAATGAGCACTGCTCAGGAGTTTCATATTAAGACGAAACGACCGTCCAGTGTTTCCAGATTTTCAATGATGATCTAACTTAGATCGACTCACAAATTCAACAATTAAAAAACTGAGCATGATAAACTCTTAGTCTAAACACAATTCCGATTAAGTTTTCATTCATTTGGAAATCTTGTTCAACTATTCAACATGCTCAATATACTTAAATTATCTTGAATGATTATAATAACGTTTAAGGTAAACAGTTAATAACTGCTATCTGTACTTCAATTAGATAAAAATCATTACAGTAAAATAGCACCATTGTGACTTACCATCTGCACAAGAAAGGTGTGGCATTGAACGTAACCATCTTTTAAAACTGATCAAATGTGCATTAATATGTGATGTGTTTTCACGAACCTCTTTAACAGACTTATCTTTGAAAAACTTTGTAATTGGTGCACAAGGTGATAAATGAAAAGTTCCCGATGACATATTCATTATATTGTGAAAGAATTTAAATGATTAACATAAAAATACAAATATAAATTGAATCAGAATCACTGAATTACACTTTACTCTAATAGAAACTTAAATGATCAATGTATTTCTTAATTCTAGGAATGAATATATAAATGGGGCACATGCCCTAGTCAACCAATTAAAATCATTATATCACACAATATTTAAGTAGATCAATATAAATCTAATCATTGTATGTCTGTTACACTAAATTAATTACCTTTACATGAGCACTAATTAGCTAAATGAATAAACTCCACTTAGTCTCTTCAGTTTCATTATAAATGTGCAGACATATATATATGTTTTGTTAAACATGATAGTGATGTATTGTAAAACAATATTGTGCAGCATGGTGCATAAACGTTTTAGTCTTACTTAAGCTTAAATTACTAAGAAAATAGATAACATATACTTGTTTCTCAGTTTTCCTTATTAACTCAAGCTTGTATGATAAAACCATTTGATCTAATATAGGGGTTGTGGAGATTATTAAGTTTTTGATTGAGGTCATGAATCGATTGATGTTTGACCACCACCTTCGGAAACCTACATCTCAATCAAAAACTTAATAATCTCCACAACCCCTATACTTGTAATCAACATGTGCTCACTAGTGACTAGCTTCGTGAGGGAATTCTCGGAGTTCTAGTGAGAAGCCGTGACCAGTGGAGCTAATCTATGTCGGGTAGAGACAGGTATCTACCTCAGTACAACGGAAGTTGGTCGCGCAATTTCGTGGATTGGTTGATGTTAGGCACTAACACCGTTGGATGTCGGCTTAGTGGTCCAGTTGGTTAAGCGTTCGCCAGAGAGACCGGGTACCCTGGGTTCGAATCCCGCGGGGTGCGGGATCGTGGATGCGCACTGCTGAGGAGTCCCATAATAGGACGAAACGGCCGTCCAGTGCTTCCAGGTTTCCCAAGGTGGTGGTCTAACATCAATCGGTTCATGATCTCAATCAATAAATGTTTGATCTAGGTTGTTTATAGATTTCAGTTTAATAACACAAGAAATGATATAGACTGTGAAACCACTAAAAACAAGTGATCAGTAGACAGGTGTTTAGTCCCAGTTTAACGATCGTCAGTCAGGTGAACATACTACAAAAGTCAAAGGATCAAAATTGGAAAATTCTGTTCATTCATGCGATAGAGCTACACTTTTTGAATGTCATTTTTATATATTGTTGTTTTCGTTCTGATTTTCTCGAATCCTGAAGAGTTCAAAGTTTGTAAAAAATAACTGTCGGGCTCTTCTTGGTTTTTAATGAGTTTCCAGTTAATATCAGTTCGTACACATAAACTAAATTGAAAATAATTGGTAAGTAATCATAATACCTTCAAATCCCCAGTTACTGCTAAGAGTGAGGAAATTTTTCTACTTCTTTTACCTATACCATTATAATCTCCATCGAAAAAATTCCTACCAACTACCAACGATCAACTTGTAATTTACAATTTAGATACAGTCTGCATCAAGAGTATGAATCTCGTGTAATTCATCTTTCACATGATTCCATATTCTCCGTTTGATCACGCAGATGATAAACTTAACAATCATAAATATCAATGGTTAAGATCATCAGTCAGTTGAAGCTAAACCACCATGGAAAACGTGGAAGCACTGGACGGCCGTTTCGTCCTATTGTGGGACTCCTCAGCGGTGTGCACTTACAACCTCGCCCCCTGCGAGATTCGAACCCAGGACCTCCTGGTTTCTAGTGAGAAGTAGTGACCCGTAGAGTCCAACCAGGTCTGTTGTGAGATAGTAACTCACTGAAGACAATGGTGGATGTGTCGCTCAATTTCGTGGATTAGTTGAAGTTAGACGTTAACACCGTTGGATGCCGACTCACTGGTCTAGTGGTTTAGTGCTCGCGTGAGAGGTTGAAAATCCTGGGTTTGAGTCCCGAGTGCGCTATCGTGGATGAACACTGCTCAGGAGTCCCATACTAGGACGAAACGGCCGTCCAGTGTTTCCAGATTCTCAATGGTGGTCTAGCTTAGATCGACTCATGAATTCAACAATTAAAATACAAATGTTTTATGTTATCTGTAAGATGAATAATGCTTACCTATATCAGAAATTATAGAAATCTATATCTACTAACCTAATTTCTGTTTACAGAAAAAAAATTTATACAGCCTCAGAGTTTAACTTGACCTTTCACTTAGATACTATAACGTTTACTAAAAAATCTCTTTCTTTTCCTTTCAAATTTCCAAAACTTTGATTTTGTTAACATATTAATTTTTAATCTTCGTCTTACTTAATATTTTCGATTATTTTTGTATCTAGTTTCCATTACACCTGTCCTACAATTATTCTGTCATTACATTACGTAATCTAGTGAAATAATCTTTCTATTACATCATTTTCATTCATTGTTTACATGTCTTCATAGAACTAATACTTAGACATGTATATGATCATAAACTCGTTGAAAAGAGATCCCTTCACTAAACTTCTTGTTTTTAAGAATCAGAAAGGGAATTTAGATGGTGGTTGGAGGTAGTCGACAGGAAACCCTGGATCCGGGTTTCGTGCTACTTGGAACTCGTCAGCAAGGTGTACCTATAATCTTGAGGGAACTGGTGCTCCCTGGCGGATTCGATCTCGTGTCACCCAGCTTCACAGTCAGAGCTATCCGAGCCGTGACTAACCTCCTGTAGGACTGAGATATAATCACAATTGATTGATCACTGGGTGGTGATAAATGTCATGCTTGCCTAGTCCTTATTAGTGCAGATCGAATGCTATCGATCCGCCAGGGAGCACCAGTTCCCTCAAGATTACAGGTACACCTTGCTGACGAGTTCCAAGTAGCACGAAACCCGGGTCCAGGGTTTCCTGTTGACTACCTCCAACCACCATCTAAATCTCAATACATAGTGCCCGCAATGTCGAGTCACCTAGACTGGTGGCCACATTGCAACATGATCGATAGCATTCGATCTGCACTAATAAGGACTAGACAAGCATGAGATTGATCACCACCCAGTGATCAATCAATTGTGATCAGAAAGGGAATTATTTGTCAATCATTAATTTCACAAATAACGAAAGACATATTTCAACCTGTGAAATTTCTAAAAATCTCCACAAAACCCATTCTGAAAATAATCAACTGCTCACTAGTGACTGACTTCAGGAAAATACTCCTAGAGTTCTAGTGAGAAGTTGTTACCAGTGGAGTTCAACCAGGTCTGTTGTGAGATAGTAACTCACTGAAGACAATGGTGGATGTGTCGCTCAATTTCGTGGATTGGTTGAAATGAGACACTAACACCTTTGGATGTCGGCTCAGTGGTCTAATGGTCACGTGCTCGAGCGCGAAACCAGTAGGTCCTGGGTTTGAATCCCGCAGGGTGCGGAATGGTGGATGCGCACTGCTCAGGAGTCCCATACTAGGACGAAACAGCCGTCCAGTGCTTCCAGGTTTTCCATGGTGGTCTAGCTTTAATTGACTCATGATTTCAACCTGTGAAATTTCTAAAACTCTCCACAAAACCCATTCTGACATATTTTAATCGTTTAAAAATCCCTATCATATTAAAAGGTGAAAAGAGGCGAAATGCAAACGGGGAAGAAGAAATCCCTGTTCATGAGTCTACAATTCAGAGGGGCTGGAGATAGTGAAATATCAACTCAGAGATTACACAGGACAATACAAAAATCTTTTAACGCCTGAGAACTGCGACTAGTGTTTTCTACGCGCCCAATGGTGACACCGGGGGTAAAAGATGAATTACCTAGAATGACCACCACATTTTTTATTTATCAGTTTGACTGCTCCCGTGGAGCTAGTTATATTGATCGAAGTTCTAGGAATTTACATTTTCGTGCTCGTGAACACTTCCCAGCGTGGCTAAACAAAGGTTTGATGGAGAAAGTTAACAGCTCGATATTGGCCCATTTAGTACAAACTGGTCATATTGCCAGTATAAACCAATCTTTTTCAATTATTTATAAGGTCAGTAATTTTTGCTAAAACTTGTCAGACTTAAAGTCCTTTAAACAGCTGAAGCAGTAGCCATCTGAATGAAAAAACCGGAGCTATGCGTAAAGAATAAATATCTTCAACCACTCCTTCTCCCCTGGCCAACATCAAGGCCAATTAATCAATCGTAATCTGAGTTATATCAACATTAACCATTTTATTGTATTTTGTTTAACAATCCTAAATTCACATACTTTAAAGGATATATTGTGATGACGGACCACCGGTGAACTCGAGGAAGCTGTAAGAGGCCTTTAACCTGACCATTTCTTCGGATTATTAATTTGGATATATATGAATTGTAGAACCTGAAGAGAATTGATCGAAAAGAATATTTCTCGTTCAAATACTTGACATATTTACATCCAATTTAAAATTTTATTCCTAATTTTATGTAACTACTTAATAATAATTAACTGACTATGAAAACTCAGCTTAGTTTTAATTTTAACTTTCTAAACACTATGTAACTAACTGATTATTATATTGTTCAACTGACTCACCATCATCTACTTGATATTGACTTTCTACTCATTTGAAGAATCTATCTATTAGTGTATAGTACTGATAAATAACCTATTGAGTAGAAGTATTTCTTAGCTCAATTTGTCTTTTAATATCTTAATGGTAATAGTTAATGAAGATTTGAAGAGTTTACATAAATTTAAGAAACAAGTGGGTGTAAAACAAGTAGTTTTAAAGTGGATGAAAGATGAATATGGTTGTAAACAGTTGATGAGAAAATATGAAGTACAAATGAATTCGGATTATTCAGTGTCATTTATTGTTATTGTTTTATGAAATATGCAGATCTGTGTTATTTATCAGTAATTGTTTGAAGTTAGATACACCGAAGGATATTGTCGTCTAACAGAGTTTAGAAATTATTGACTGATTACTGACTACCAAACAACATTATCTTGAACGCTGTTAGTTGTTTTTTTCCTAAAAAAATCTAAATGATCCGATTACTGTATTAGGTGATTAGAAGATATATCTAGATCATTGTTGCTCAGTTTACAAATTTTAAAAGTTATCTCCAATAAATTATAATCATAGAATCACGTACAATCACAAAGGATCCTATCCAGAATCTCTTAGTTTCATGGTGAGTAGGATTCTGAATACATGTATCATATATTTCCGAACTGAGTCAAGTGACGATATGAAGTTATCGTTTTTTATAATTCTTTCAATCTCACACACAACAGTTTTTCATCCCGAATTCCCGGAAATTCATTTGGCCATTTGCGACAAATATATACGTAATTATTACCACGTGATGTGATTTTACGAGAGATTTTACACTACTAAATTGGATCATCTCCCTTTATATGGATTACACTAGAGCACCTAAAACTGCCCCAAACAAAAGAAATGATAATATTATCAGTAAATGATAAATTTGTGAATAGTATATTCAAACATTATATGAACAAGAGTACTGGTTAATATAATATACAGTCCTTTTTAAAATACGGACAAAAAGACCTCTATAGGCTAAGCAAACCCATTTTAGATTTATATAGAATGTAATAGATATTTACAAGAGATTAGCAACTGGCTTTTATTGTAATCCATATCTGATAAAGTTTCAGATCACTGAGTTGCTATCAGTCACACCACAACCTCTTTTCGTAACCTAACATCCTCTTTGATTTTGCCATTCAGTTCGATTGTTGAGGAATATTGCGTGATGTGGAAGCCACTGAGATGATATATGTAACTATTTCCTACCAAAATAAACCGGTACATAAGGGCCACAATACTAACTGAATTCTTACCACTGCCCTCGACAATGTATCAAGAGACCTCGGGATCAATTATACGATTAAATCACCAATTTGACCAATCAAGATACATAATAGCGGTTTGCTTGCAACAAGTGTGACAATGTTTCATCATTTGGTAGAGGGATGGGGATGACACCAATGCATCCACAATAACCGGCCTGCACCTTCTGAGTCAAGCATCCACTAAATTCACACAATCTATGAAGCATAACGAAAGCCATTAGTTTGAATGTCGAGGCTCACTTACACTTTTCGGTTAGGTGATATGTAACATTAATTCTAGCTTGGTCTGATACTTTTTTACAAAGGAAGGTTCAACCAATCTTTCTTAGTCAATCTCTTTAAATTTATGAATCTGTCGACTTATAAAACACAAAATACTTTTGAGGAATACTAGGAAATCGAGATACGTACAACAAAAGAAAGTTGTAGTGCTTGGTTTAACATCAACGTCAATGAAACGGAAAATCAGTGGTATACATTAGTAAGGAAAAACAATCTTAAAACAGGCTTTCAGGTTCAACAAATAGAAATGAATTTTACTCTAATAAATAGAGATTTTAAATACACATTATTGATGAACAGTAGATGTTTTTAGAAAGACTCCGAAATATCATCTAAACCTGTTTGATTTTCATTTAATCAGAGAGCCTTTGAAAATTTATTAAAAACTAGAAAACTATTTCATTTTAATTTAAGACATAGTAGTAAGCAACTTAACCCTCACTAAACTATATATTCAGATAGTGTACCAATAAATCTCATCATTAAAACAATAGAAAATATTCTCATCCCTACTATAAATCAGAAGGGGTTTTGTGGAGATTTTAGTAATTCCAATTGCTGAGATCATGACTTAGTTGAAGTTAGACCATCAAAGAAAACCTGGAAACACTGGACGGTCATTTCGTCCTATTATGGGACTCCTCAACAATGTGCATCCACAGCCCCTTCTCGCGAGATTCGAACCCAGGATCCATCAGTCTCGCGTGCGAGCGCTTAACCACTAGACCACTGAGCCAACATCCAACGGTGTTAATGTCTAACTTCAACCAACCCTAAATCATTTTATGAATCATATTATTTCAGTATTTTAATCGTAGACAATAATTCCTTTTATATATCTTCTTCACTTTAATCAAAACCAAATTGACATTGATCAGCTCCAATAAATAAATCAATTGAATTGTCAATAGTTGAAATCATGATTCAATTGAAGCTAGACCACCATGGAAAACCTGGAAACACTGGACGGCTGTTTCGTTCTAGTATGGGACTCCTCAGCATCCATCGTGGTCTAGCTTCAATTGACTCATGATTTTAACTATTGAAATTACTAAAATCTCCAAAAAAACCCCTTCTGATAAATGAACTTGTGTATTTTTCCTTCACTAACGATTATTCTTCAATGTAAAATAAAGAAAATCTGGCAAAAATAAAGATAATAAATCCCCATTCTCAAGTAATAACATTCATTGCTTTTTTTTGAAAAAAATTAATTATTATTTCAAAACTTAAATTAATATAGTTAATTTCTAAAGTGTTTAACATTACTATAATAATAATAATAATAATAATAATAATAATAATAATCCCCATGGTGATAATGATGATAGTGATGATCTCATTTGTACCGATTTAAAAAAAGAAAGTTTATTTCAACCGAATACAATTAAATGTGATAGACTCACATGTTTGAATTTATTATTTTTTTTAAAAAGAAAACTTTCATTTTATACCTAATACATTTCAATGATCATGTAGTCTTTATTCAAGGTGAAATATTTTTAGTAAAAGAACTATTGTATAAGACTGTGCATTCCTACGTGTATATATATGTGAGTATGTGTGTAAGTGTATGCCTTTGTTATAAAACCGTAATCACTAAGATAAATAAATTATCAAACTAGACAATCAATATATAGTTGATTGATGTATATCAATTAAAATGTAATAAAAATTATTACTAATAATAGTAGTTTAAAATTGTAATAATTAAATCCCATGAAATATGTGAATGTTATATGTAAGAATATTTAAACTTGAGCCTATTCATTCCTTGATTGATTTAATGAATTGTTTTTTTTATTTCCATACTTAGTTACAGATTAAAGGCAAATAAATAAACAATCAGTTTGTAGTTTAATCATTTATCAATCTGACTCAATATGACCTTGACTCAGTATGTTTTGACTACTAAACAATCTTCTTTTTTTTGTATTCTTATCAGAATGAAGGTTTGTGGAAACTAGTAATTTTAAGAGTTGAGTTTATCATTGAACGTCGGTTCAGTGATCTAAATGTTGAACGTCCTCGTGCGAGACCGGAGGTTCGGAATTCGAGTCCCTTATGCGAAATCATGGGTACACTCTGCTGAAATATCTCATAATAGAAGAAAATAGCCGTCAAATGGTTCCAGGTTGACTGATGAGTTCAATTACTAAAGCCTTTTTGAGTTTGGCTACTACCTATAATTAATGCATTTGTTGTATCTTCTATTGTTATTCACCGTAAATAGATGTTTTATCTCCATTCGAATAATTGGAATTTTTTAGTTGCCAAGGTTTTATGGTGAACCAATAAAAATATGAAAATATCTTGATTCAGTTAATACTCCGAAACGTATAAAAAGAATGAGTTAATAGAACGTAAAAACAAATACATATAAAATATATGAGTTACTTGTTTTTGTCAGAACGATGGGTGTTCACGGGTCCAAATACATTTATCCACACTTATTGACAATGTAGAAAAAATAATTCCAAAGAATCTCAGATATATATCAAAAGAGTTCTTTTGTAATTAACAGAGGATATGCTGCATAGCATGAGCTAAAACGTGTACAACAGTATTATTAGTAAACAAGAATAATGGAA